GCAGGAAGAGACATGGCCTGGGCTAGAGCCTGGAGCAAAGGGGGCGTTGTCCCAGCCCTCTCACAGTGGCATGGGGAAGAGTCATGTCGGGGCAATCACACGCCGCCCCATGTGACTCCTAGAACACATAGTTCATATTGACATAACTATTTGGGATAGGGAAGTGATTTTTTTAGTTAACTATAGTATTATAACTATGTTCCTATTGTAGACACCGTTATAGTGGTACAAGGGTAACCAGTTAACCGGCATCCATCCCAGCCAGAGGTGTCTGGCCAGCCACATCATGCCTCACCACGGGGGGTGGAGCTCCCAACTGGCCGTGCTCACGGCACCATGCTGCAGGTGGGGAACTGCTCCAGTGCTCCCCTCCCCACAGTGAAACATAGTGGGCTGGTTAACTGGTTAACCACACAATTTAACCAGTTAACATTTTAAATGGGATTTTATATCCCTAACTGGTACCTGTATAATGGTGTCTTACACCAGTATAGATTATCCCCCTTTCCGTACAGGAACAGCTACACCAGTATAAAGCACTTTTACAGCTGCACCCACATTTTTGGACTGTACTACTTTAACTATACCAGTATAATTAAAGAGGTATAATTTGTGTGTGAAGGCCAACGCTATCTTCTCTTCCTGTTCCCTTCATTTCTGAGGTCCATATGCTGCTTTGACATCTCTTTAGAACTGAGACTTACTTACCTCACAGAGGCATTGAATGGCTTAATTAATTAACATTTGTCAAGTGCTGTGAAGATCTTAAACGCTAAGCATTATTATTATTATTTAAATCTACATGCCCATTCAGTCCGTGGCCTCTCTTGTGTGACTGCCAACAACTATGCCAATTAGTACTAATTGTTGTGCTGTGGTTTTGTGATGAGGATATCTGCCAAATGGGAACCAGACTGCGACCACCAACTCTTTTCCTATTGGCCACCAAACAGCTGTCAAATTATAACAACTTTCAGTCACTACCAGCCTGGTCTGAATTCAAACCAGAGCCCATTAGTAAAAGGCTCAGTATCCCATTACCAGTTCCCTGAGGCATCCAGTCCACAAGACAAATACAAACCTTTTTTATTAGAGATAAACTAATATTATTGTTTTCTTTTTTCTACAGAATCAATACAAGGCTCAGAAAACTGATGCTGGAACTGCAATACATAAAGCTAATCTGGGATACTTTCACATTAAACTTTTCTTGCTTCTACACATGCTTGGTGGAAACTATATCTTAATTCATTTTCAGGTATCACTATGACAACAAATAGTAAAGACAACAGAAAAAGAAGGGAATTGACAGTGTAGAGTATAATGAATGTCTTCTTAAAGCCTGTTTCTGGAATTTTAACCTATGCAAACATTCATATATTTCTTATCAACTGTCCATTTATGATAAGTGGACTTTAAAAAGATATACACAACGAATGTATACCAGTAGTCAATGCATCTCACTCTAGCACTAAAACTTTATTTTCATTTTATTGTTGTTCTTTTTTACTAAAAGGTCAGCAGCACAAAAGTCAAATTAACCATACTATTCCCAAGCAATTATATTTCTGTTGTCCAGTTGGACAGGTTACAGAAACTCATCCTTTGGAAAGCAAACAAAATTTTGATTTTTTTACTCTAATTTGAATTCTGTCATTTATCATCTGCATCATGTATGACAACACAACTTCCCTCTTTCATCTCTACACTGCCGACCAACCTTCCCAAGGAGCCTCTGAACCAGGTGTGGAGACCTTTCTGAATCTGTGCTGAAAGATCCCTTAATTATCCAGGCAAAGGCCACAAATCCTTTATGCACATAGCAAGTTCAAAGAAGTAGCCTTCTTGTGTTTACTCATCCCATAGTACATTACAACAAATAACAAGAAACTATCTTTCTTTTCAGTGTATGGACTTGCAACTGTTCAGAAAAGAAGCTTTTTTTAAGGTCTTGTTATGCAATTAAACAAGAAAGCAAAATAAAAGCTGCCTTTCTAGAACAAGCATTATAAAATGCTCTTCCTGCCAAGACAGTGGTTCAGATTTTCAACTGCTGTAAATCAAGACAGCACTCTGAACTAAACAGTTTATTTGCTGAGCTAAATGTATGGTGGGCATTTGAAAATAACTTTACAGCTTCAGCTCTTTGAGATTATTATATGCTACTTAATAATCTAACCACTCTTTGTATTTATTACTTTAGGAACAAGTTTTTCAAGATTTTAACACTGTGACAGCTATTAAGTTATTACTTTTCTGTGCATGCTTTGAACTCTGAAGAAAAAAGAGATTAATTTACCCATCATCAAGTAATTATCAGGGAGGTTCCCCAGAGACTTTCACATATGAGACCACACAACCAGGCCTTTGGAGACAGGTCTCTTCACCTGAACACCTGGGCAAGACACATTGACTTTCCAGCATATGTATTTTTCCCCATGACAAAGATCCATTTACTCTTTCATTCAAATAGAGGACCCCATTACTTTCCAATGAAGGCAGAGACCCCTTTAAGAATCATAAGAATTCAGCAGTCTGTGCTTCTTTTAAAGCCAGTATATCACATACACTTAACAATAGGAATTAAATTTCTATTCACCATTCATGGCAATCCAAACAACAGGAGGTCCAATAGTTCTGCCTTCAGCTAAGATAAAGTACTTGACATTTTACACTAAAGAAATAAGGGTTTGAACCAAAGCCCACTGAAGGCAATGGAATGACTCCTATTGATTTCACAGGGCTTTGGATCAAGCCCTAAAATACTATAATCTGAGCTTTGAATTCTGACAATACAGTACAATGCACCTCCAAACAAAACTATATTTAGATTCAATAGCAATTCTGTATATCATACAGGAACTCCTTGAATTAAAATGAAGGTCACGAGGGCTTGGCTTCCTCTGCAGAGCCCCCCTAACCATTCTTGCAAACATCCAGATAAGCATTGTTTGGAAAACAATGTTACTTCCAATGTTACCAAAGTATAACACACATTTTGTCTGCCTTCTTTCTATGTTGTCCCACTACCTAATCTCTGACATGCATCTGACGAAGTGGGTCTTTGTCCACGAAAGCTTATGCTCCAACACTTCAGTTAGTCTATTAGGTGCCACAGGACTCTTCACCGCTTTTACCTAATCTCTGTGAGCCATTAATGTGTCTAGTCATGACTGTATATGTGTTTTATCTATTATTGCATTCAAGTGTGATAGTTTACACGCTTATGCTAGAAGAACATATTAATAATATAATGCAATTAATATATGTGTATGATATACACACAGAAAGAAGACTGTGCAGATGAGCACACTACTCATAGGTAAATCAATACATATTGCAAAGCTCTAGAACACTTGTGCATTGCACTCATTCATTATCAGATACACATCAATGTCTAGTACAAGGCATAAAGGCATGAGATGTTGGCATCCCTAAAGTTTACTCTTGTGAAATTAAAAACAGGAATCAATCTACCAGAGAGATATAGTCAAACATCCTACTATTTAGGGCCCAGTAAAACTATACTTCACAAACTTTCATTCCAAATTATGTGAATGAAATATGTAGGCACATCAGGAATATCAGAATGTAACTTTCAGTAGCATTTTATCACCTGCATGAAATGAGCAGCACCATAGTTACTGCCAATTGTTAGTCATTTTACAGTAAAACCAATTAACATCCTGTAAAGCTCAGTTGCAGCTTCAGCTCAGGCTATTTCCAGAACTATGTGACTGGAGCTCAGTCACAACCACTTACACCAACTTCTACAGAGTTTAACAAAGGGCACTTTTGACACTTGATGCTCTTTAGTGTGAGAAAAGACTGCACAGTTTGAATTGACTTTGATCTCTGACATAGTGAGTGTTCTGGACTGCACTCCACACAATGTTTAATCTACTCTCCAGCCCACGTTGTGAGCAAAAAGTAACACTGGCAATCAATTACATGTATGTGCAGGGTGTTTGCAATAGCTGTAGTTTTGTTAGGCTAAAGAAAAGTTTGAAATCGAAAGTCCTTGAAATATTTGTAACCATTTTAGTACTGAATTTTTAGAATTGATTTGCATGCAAGATAGGTAGAAAAAAACAGACGTGCAGCAATCTAGATGTATACTATACAGAGCCCTGGCTTCAAAGCCAGAAGAGACTACTGTGATCATCTAGACTTCCTGCATACAACAGACCATTGAACCTCTCCCACAATAGATCCATAATCTCTGGCTAAGTTACAGAAGTCCTCAAATCTTGATGTAAAGACTTGACATTACACAGAATCCATTATTGACACTAGTTGTACCCCATAATGCAGAGGAAAGTGAAAAACCCTCCAAATCTCTGCTGATCTGACTTGGGGGAAAATTCCATCCTGACCTAAAGTACATCAGACCCACTAGCCAAACTATCAGAGCCCTCCCCATCTAGTATCTCATCTCTGACTGTCAGGGAAATATGCCACTAGCAGTAGCAAATGGGCCACATGCCACTATAAAGCAATTCCCATACCATACCATCCATATACTTATCAAGCTCAGTCTTGAAACCAGTTGAGTTTTTTTCCCCCTTTTCTCCCTTTGTAGCTCTGAGTCAGCACTAAGCAAAAGCCTACACCTGCACAACATATAGTCAGGGAGAATTCCTAAACAGAGATCTAGCTCTACAGCATAGCATATACGATAAACTATATAGTGTATAGAATATACTATAAAGAGTTTATATACTATAAACAGCCCAGAGATACAGAAAAGTACTTTGAAGAAGGCTAGACAGCACTGAGTTACACATGACAGCTCTAGACAGGTTCCAGGAATCTTAGGCACAGAATCTAGACTCTGCATGTTCTAGGTAACCCTCTTCACACAGATTTGTGAAGAGTGTGATATAAAGATCTAGCTGTAGCCAGCTCCTACTGGGCAGAGCCTAGAGCTCTAGTTGAGCTCTCCGTGGGTCTGTGCCTGCCCCAGGTTAACCCCGGCAGAGGGCAAGGGCATGGCTTACCGGCAGGGAGTTAGCGGGGCTGCTGCCGGCTGCCAGTTTCAGGGCTTGCTTCTTGAATTCGGCCAGCTTGACCTGACAGTTCTTGCACCATCCCCCTTTCCCGGCTCTCTCGAAGTGCCCCAGTTCGGCCACAGAGACAGCCCCAGCTCCTTCCGGGGGGGGGCGGCGGCCCCAGCCTCTTCCTCGGGGAGAGCTCCAGAGAGAGCGGGGGCGGCTCTCGCCCGGAGCTGCCCTCCGCGATCTGCAAAGAGAAAATGACCCAGGTCAATGCAAGTAGCCAGCAGCTCCCATTAACTGAGGCAGGCTGCGCCTGGGAAGGAAAGCTGCAAAGAGCAGCCCTGGGCCGGGTTGGAGGGAGGGGGCCATGCAAAAAAGCGAGCTTTGCACCCCTCAGTGCGGAGCACTGACCGACTCGCGTGCACGCTGCTTGCACAGCCTCCCGTACAAAGTTGCCAAGCGCGCGCGGCGAACGCGCACCAAACTCCAAGCACCAGAGGGCTCCCCGCGCAAAGTCGGGGCGGGGACCTCCCAGGCTCTGCACTAGGCTCCATTAACTTTCAGTGAATGGTCCCACTCCAACTTACCCCGGGGGCCCGGGGTTCAGAGCCCAGGCACCTTCTCCCAGCGGGGTGCTCTGCAGCCCGGCTCATGGTGACAGACCAGGCAGGTTTTAATCACCTGGCGCCTGACCCCCCTTCCCGCCGCCGCACGCCCAGATCCGAGCTGTTTGCAGCTACACTGGGCTGAGTAGTCCCGAGCTGCCCTGCAAGTCCTCGCTGCCCATTGCCAAGGCCAGGGGCCGAAGAGGCTGCAAAGTTCGGCTCCTTGGTTTCCACTTGCACGGGCGGCGGCTGCTCGGAGCTACGTGATGTTTCCGCCCATGTTGTTGGAAGTGAAAGGAGCAAAGTTTGGGTTGCAAGTTGGCGAGAGCAGCCCCGGGAGGAGCGGAGGGGAGGAGCAGTGAGCTCCCCACCTCGGTGCAGAAAGGGGCCGAGAGCTCAGGAGCGCGTGAGGAAAAGCGGCTCTTAGGGGCGGGGCGGGGGCTCCGCGTGGGGTGGGATGAACTAGGAGAGACCCTCTAGAGTTTGAGCGTTTCTTTCCCAGTGACCCTCCAGGCTGCGCTCGGCTCCAAACCTGCAGGGGCGCAGGCGCTTTGCTCCCATTAACTGAATTCGAATAAAACCCAGAGCTAATTGCTCGCACGGTGCAGCCCGAGCCCAACTTCCCAAACAAGGCTCAGGCTTTTAAAACACTACATCCCAAGCAGGAGTGGGGGGGGGGGAACGATCCGGGCCGCAGGGGATGTAATCCTGGGCTCTGAAATCTAGCCCGGCACAGTTCGTCCTTAGAGTTACTCTCATTGTTAGTTTTATTTCATGTGACTGAAGAGGGGATACACCACCCCTTCCCCCATGCAGCAGGGATCCTGGCTCCAGAGTTCGGTTTGGGTGGCGTTTAAGAGCCTCACACACCTCGTCCAGCTAACACACATACACACACACACACACACAAAGAGAGACACGCCAGAGTGTGTGCACTGCTCCGCCCATTCCCTTCAGCTCTTCAGGAATGTGCATGTGACAATTGACCGCACAGGTGGAGAATTCCCCGTTCCTAAGCTAATTGTCTATGTGGCTGCCGCTCTGCCTCTGATCTTTAGCATTTGTGTTGCAATCATGTCGCTCCCCCGATTGCCGCGCTCCTTCCCCAGCTAGACACCAGAGGCCTGCCCGGCCCGTTCGGTTCTGGCCCGCAAGAACTAGGATCTGGATACGTGTTGCACTTGCAAGAGTAAGGTTGTGACGGCCAGTGGCTGCCCCGCTCCCTCTCGCAGGCCGGGGTAGTTGCGGAGCTTGGATCTTTGCTCTTATGTCTCTGCGACCTGCTTGCCCTGTCCAGCTACTGCCCTCGCACCGTACGTCTGATAAGCTCTTGCATGGAGCATCTGCAGGAACCGAGGCGCTATAGCCCGGGTCTGCGGTTGCGGGCTAAGAGCAGTCCCTGTGACTGGAGCGCCATCTGCCGGCCCCATGCCACTCCGCACCTTGGCTTCAGAGAATTGGCCATGTGCTTGCCTGGGTCCTCCGCGAATTCAGTCTACGCGCCCTCACTCTGCGACGCCCAGTCCCACCCAGAAGAGGCGGAGGGGATATCTCCGCCACACACACACCCCAAAGTGGCTTTTTTCTTATCCCTCGCTTATACAGAGCCACTCGACTGGGCAGGCCGGCTGGAAATCTTTGGTTCCCCTCCGCGCGCACATAATCCCAGTTAAAACAGGACAACGATATGCACCAGCCTTACATGCCCGCTGTGTGCTTCACTCAGTATGTATGGGTTATTATAATAATAACCCGCTGCACCTCTTCACCTCCCCTTTGGACACAGATGAGTGAAGATCTACAGCCAGAAAAGCGCCTTCACATCAGAACCCTACATGGACAATCCCTTTGGCCACATAACGTGAATCGCTCTCTAGCTCCCAGAGATTTTCACCTGGGTTTTTAGGTGCATCCGAGTGCGCCATGATGCGTGTCGCCTCATGCGGGAGATAGCCTTTGCCAGGCAAACTTATCCCAGAGGCTTAATGAACGCTGTTAAATGCATCCCTAATGGCTCTGAACTCTGTCAACTGCGCGCCAGCTCCCTTATGCTCCACTTCATCCCATGCGCCACCTCCCCAGCTTCTTTCATGCAGCAGCTCCCCCGCCAGCGCCGGCGCCGCAGCTGCTTCACACATGCACACGGCAGCTCCGCAAAGCTTTCATGCCGCGGTAGGAGCCCCCCAGAGGCCTTGGGTAGCCCTCATACCCTAAAACCTCCCGCTGCAGGCGGGGCCCCCTGCGGAGTTTACGTGCGAATCACAAGCACACGCCCACCCCCCAACAAAAACTAACAATGCAGCGATCAGGTGACATCAGAGAATGTGACACTCGGACCTAATTTACAGCAGCCCTTAGAAATCCTGGCCTGGGACCCTCCACGAGCCCCACCTGCTCACCCAACGCCTCGGGGATGCCCTTGGCAAATTCCAGTGCCTTGGGCACCCAAGCGGACCGCCCTGGCGAGCCCCGCTGAAGGAGCTAGCCCGGCAGTGCCCAGGGAAAGTTTTTGTGGGGGTGAGGAGAAAGATGAACGAGGCTGGCTCTGATCTGTCCCCAGCACTGTGCGCAGTTGGGAGCGCTTCATTAGTACCTTGTCCCTGGCATTAACCTGGAGGGCAGAGGAGGCAGACGCACACACGCCTATGAGTGATGTGCCCGGCCTCCCTGTAGTGTCGGCTCGATGCGCGCTGCAGGTCTTCAGTAACTTGCTGCTTAAATATTTCATGCCTCTGAATAATGGCTGCAAACGCCTCCTTTGAGTCCCAGCGTCGGACTAGATCGCAAAGGGGGATGGGCCCTGCTTGCTGCCCACAGTGAGAACGAGTCGAGCGCTTTTAAAACCCACTTTGGAGCAACACAGAACTAATAATTTCTAAGACACCCCCATGGCACAGGCTTCCCAGAGAGTGAGGCCAACCGCTCCATGCTTTACACTGGGTGTTCCGAGGGAGCCGCCCCGAGCCCTTTCAGAAGGGAGAAATCGGCGCCTTTTAGCCCGCGCCTCTGCCATTGGGACAGATCCAGAGGAGCCCTGGGAGGGAAGGATGTTCCCAGCAGCGCTCCCTTCCTGGGGTTGAATTGCTGGTGTTTTATTGTGCAGCCCGGACTGCTCGTGGTGCTGAAACTGCACGTGGGCTCCTGGCACGTTTGGAATTAACTTTGTACCGGGGATTAGGAGCCACTTAAAGCCTAGGAAGTTTTTGCTCCTGTCTTCACCTGTGAGAAAATCGGTGCCAGAAGCCGAACCCAGCTCGCCCGCTGCTGCCCCTGACACCTAGCGCTCTCCTGTTCCCGCAGCCCCCTCTCTTACCTTGCCTTTCCTCCGCAGGAGGTGGCTGGTGAAGCCGAAGATGATCTCCGAGTCCAGGCAGAGCGCGCCTATCTCCAGCAGGCTGGGGTTTTTCCGGGTGGCGCTGGAGGGATCGGGCGCTGGCTGAAAAGCCATAGTTTGGTTGGATCTTTCCGGCTCCCTGGGCGCTGGCACAGGACCCCCGCCGAGCGCGAGTTACTCCTTCATCCTGGCGGGCTGCGCCGGGCTGGGGGTAGGGACCCCGAAGCCAGGCAGCGATCCCACCGACCCCTCGCTCCTTGTTTTGTCCCGCTCTGGCGCACCTTGTCTGCTGGGCTCCTCCCGCGGGCAAAGCAGCTCGGCTCAGCGGCCCAGCGGAGCTGCAGCTTGTCCCCCGCTGTCCTCTGCGCCGCTCCCGCCGCCCATCAGCACCCAGCCCTCATCGGGCCGCGCAGCGGGACTCGTCGGAGGATGCGCGGGCCATCAGCCCGGAGCGCGCCTCTCCTGCCTCCCCCATGCACGGGTGATGTCTCAGGGGCAGTCCAGGGAGGCGGCGAAATCTGTGGCGACAATTAGCAAGGGACGGAGGAAAGACTTTCCAGCCGGGGCTTCCGCTCCTCTTCACGCGTGTTATTAACCAGCGAGCCCGAGACACGCAGGCAGCTCGCTCCGCTCCTCCTCGGGGGCTAGGAACAGGCTGGGCTGAAGGGGCGAGCCCCTCTCCTCCGCGCGCCTGCTACCTTCAGAGCCACTTCGCTGGCAAGCGGTGGCCGCTGCATCCCCCCTCGGCCTGTCACAGAGGCGCTGTCCAGCAGACCCGGAGGACGCGGGGAAACCCTGCAAGGCTCCCCCCTCCTAACTCAGACTCCCGGGGTACAGCTGCGGCGCGGCGGGCTGGCTGCAGGCTGGAGCCAGGCGGAGGAGCCCCAGTCCATGGTCGTCCCCGCAGCTCCCCCCAGCGCCGCCACCACGCCCCGGCTTGGCTGCTAACGAGGAAAGTTGGAGGCAGAGCTTTGGCATTGAGGGGGCTTCCTCATGAATCGTCGCCTGCAGGGCGGGAGGGAGGCAGGTCTAGCACTGCCTTGGCACGGCTGCCTGGTGCCGACAGCGGAGCCGTGTAAACGTGAGGCTAATCGCAGGAGGGGTGGATCTTAGCCTGCCTGCCCGACTGCTACCCCCGCCGCCGCTGCCTGGAGCTGCCGGAGACACGCGCCCCTCCACGCCTTGACCAAGCCAATCCCGTCGGGGCTCGCAGCCACAGTGACATCAGCCTGCGGGGACAGACAGACGGACGGACGGACGGACAGCGCCCCGGCGCGCGGAGGGGAGGCAGCGGGCAGGAGGCGAGAATCGGTCGGGCGCCTAGGCAAGGGGACAGGGGCGCTAAGCAGCGCAGGAATCCCCGTCCATGCACTTTTCTTCCCAAACCAACCCTTCGCGTCCTGAAAAAAAGCGTGAGCCCCGCTTCAGCTTGTCTGCAGCGCTAACGAGTAGAGTAAGCCCGGCGCTGTAGGCGGAGCACATTGGCCAAGCTAATCCTTTTATACACGCCTTTGATTTCTAGTGTTTAGGAGCAGCAGCGCAGTCAAGAGTTTCACGCCCTGGCAGAGACAGGATTCACGAACGGAGCCAGGCTATCACAAAGGTGCTTTTCTCGTCCCTCTCTCGCTCCGCAGAAAATACCACATTGCTGACACCGTCCCGTGAATGCTAGGACCCTGAGTCTCCATTCCAGTGATGTCCCGTTTACACTAAGCTGTGCCTACCTAAAGTGGTTTCTTCTGTTAGAGCTCACACATCTGTCAAGCCATATGAGACCGGATCTACGCTGCATATTAATGCCAGGTTTAATTAATGGCTGGTATTTTAAAAACAAGTTTTGCCAAATGAAATGGCATCCTTACTCCTGGTTACCCCCAAAATGTAGGGGGGCTTTCCATTTCAGGCTTCCAGCGGGTTAAAAGGCGTGTTTTAGATCAGTGGCTTTCAACTTTTTTTTTCATTTGTGGGTCTCTGAAATATTTCCAGTGGAAGAGTGAATCCCTTTGGCAATCTTGGACATAGACTGCGGACCCCCCCAGGGGTCCACAGACCACAGGCTGAAAACCACTGTTTGAGGAAACTGCAGCCAATGAATGCAGGGGCTTGTATAATGGCTATGGAATCTGGGATGGAGCCAAAATAGTCAAACGTGAGGGGGGGGGAACACCATTTTGGAATTCCTATATCCTCAGGGAGGCATTTCAGTCCAGAGTTGCACTGAGGTGGCTGAATGGGCTCTGACCCTACTAATTCCAAGCCAATCCTCCATGAATCAAAGTCTTAAGCATGCATACACACACACCACCCTTCCCAGAAAATGTCCTCAGTCATCCTATCCAGAAGCAATCCCTCCCCCGCATAAACCTTGTCTAGTCTTTCTCCCAGCCACCACAGCCTCACCCAGAATCAACAACCTGCCAAACTCCTCCTACTCCCCAGGGCCTCAGTCTCACCAGGCTCAGGTCTCTTCTCCCTGTAAAATACTCCTCATGAAATTCTAAACTTCTCACCAATCAAGGTTCCTTGCCTCTCTCCTTCCAAATGCTTTCAGGGACCTGTCTGGAGGGAAATGTCAGGAAGGAACACATGGGTCCCTTCCCCAAGGAGGATGAGTTCCTGTTGGGAACATGAACATGTGCAATAGTAGTAGTTTCCCATGGTGGAGAAGCCAGACACAAATTTAATTAGAAAGGTGAAAAAATAAACATTATGGCTACGTCTACACTGGCCCCAAATTCTGGAAAAGTGATGCAAAGCAGGTAAGTCAGAATAGGGAAATCCGCAGGGGATTTAAATATCCCCCGCGGGATTTAAATAAACATGTCTGCTGCTTTTTTCCGGCTTGGGGAAAAGCCTGAAAAAAGCATCTAGACTGGCACGATCCTCCGGAATAAAGCCCTTTTCCGGAGGATCTCTTATTCCTACTTGAAAGGGCTTTATTCCGGAGGATCGCGCCAGTCGCCAGTCTAGACGCTTTTTTCCGGCTTTTCCCCAAGCCGGAAAAAAGCGGTGGACATGTTTATTTAAATCCTGCAGGGGATATTTAAATCCCCCGCAGATTTCCCTATTCTGACTTACCTGCTTTGCATCACTTTTCCGGAATTTGGGGCCAGTGTAGACGTAGCCTATAATTGTATTGCTTAGCACCTAAGTGGTCCAGCCCCACCTGTGTTAGGTGCAGTACAGTAATTACTTATTTAACACATGCCTGCTTAACATGTTTTTGCAATAGCATGGGTTTTTTTAGGGAACTTTTTCAAATAACACGACCATCCCCAAAATAACACGAAAATAATCAAGTGGCAGACTACTTCATCCAGTGGTATAAGCTGATGAAAACAGTGGTAATATGCATGAGCAGATGAACACACATGGTCACAGTGCTCCTCCGCTCACTCACATGTTTATCTTTGTGTTTTAACAAACCACAGCAACTTGTGTTGCTAGTTATCTTGTGTTGCTAGATATCTAATGCTGACATCGATGACAGAGCACCAGCAAAAAATTGACTTTGCCACCACCACCTGAAACGCAACTCTCACATTTTCCATTATTTTTAATGGGAAAATTGACCCCACATAGCACATTTTCGCGTAGCACAAACACTTTCAGAAATGCATCTATAGTGTTAAATGAGGAAGTACTGTACACACAAATAACAAAGAGATGGACTCTGCTCCCAGACACCTTACAATCTAAGTAAAGTGAGGGCAGAAGGGGGAAGTTTAAATTACCTGGCATGAAAGGGTAACAAATGTTGCTGGACATTTATTAGGGGGGCAGAGTAGTGAATTCTCCACCAGTGCCCCATGCCCTCCACCCATAATCAGGCCCCTGGTCCTTGGTGACTGCCATAATCACAATCCTCATGTCCTCACTGCCACAAGGAAACAGAGATGAATTCCTAAGCCTGTTGAAGTCAAGGGAAGTTATGCTATTGACTTCAAAGGGGCCAGAATTTTGCTGTAGGGCTCCCTCCATTGCCTTTCTAGGTATATCAACACTGCAGTGGAAGCCCAGAGTTAATAGAACTTAAGTTAGCAGAGCCTGGATTTGTTGCCCTAGGATACGGGGTGGGGAACCTCAGGCCTGAATCCAGCTCCCAGAGACTCAGAGATTCCTGCCCCCCCCCCCGTCCCCCATTGGGGAACCTGCACAGGCACTCCAACCCCTCTGCCACCACTCACAGGGCTGAAGCACACAAAATCTACTAGCCTGGGCCTCCCTAGGCTCTGGTGTGCAGGGGAATGTGAGGAGTGTCTTTTTTCCTCTCAGTCAGGGGTTTCTCACTTTGCTTCTCACTTATGATTTTTCTGTGTGTCAGCAGCCCCAGAACCCAAATAAGGTTACCCACCTCTGCCCTAGGGCTACACTCATTTGTAACTTCCAGCTGGGAACTGTTGAAATCTGGGTCCCAACCTGTGGCTCCAACTGTATTATGCAGGCCCAAGGCCAATCACCCATTCCCCAGACTTCCTAAGGCCCCTCCTCCCCCATGAGGTTTATTAGTCCTTTGTTCTTGGTGCAATGTGGGGAAAACTTGACTGTCCAGAGGACAAAGAAAGTCAGCCTGTGGGACTGTGGACTGCTTTATTGGCCTCCCAGAACAGGAGTCCAGTTTGAGGCTGCAAAGCAATAAGGTTTGAGCCCTGAGGGGGACTCAGCTGGACTCAGGCACAGACCCTCCTCCAGTCGGTCCAGGGACCCTGGGTAAGCACACATTGCATTGCTGTAGACAGAAGTGGGAGTTCAGTGTAGATTCACCTTCCGTGTCCTGAGTCCGCCTGCAGTGCGCTTTCCTGCACTGCCCAGTCCCTCACCTCTTCAGCCCTGTGGCCGGAGTTCAGCCTCCTCCCCTTCTGCAGACCTCAGTCCCAGCAGGAGTTAATCCCCCACCCCCAGCGCCCTCCCTACACCCGTCTCCCCTTCAGGTCCCAGCTCCCGAGCAGCCAGGCCCATACACTAACTGGAAGTCACCACCTGGCCCTTGGCAGGGAGCAGAGCCCTTGGCTTAGCCCCCAGCTCTGGGAAAGGCCTGTGTGCCACATCAGTAATTAATGGCAGGCATTAAGTGAGCCCCGAGGAGGGGAGAGCCCCAACCCCCAGGCCTAACCCCTAAAAGTCTCTCCTTAATAAGCTCTGACAAAGTGAAAAATCCCCCAGGTGTCCAGCCGATAAACAGGCCGCGGGGAAAGTTATTAGCTTTTATTCATGGGCTCTAAAGTAACGCGAAACATCAACGACGCGATTGTATATAATAATAGACTAGATAAAGTCCATTTTTCTTGGGCGCTCTGAAAGCGATCCCTGAGCATTAAAACGGGTCTCTTAATAACCATCTTATCTCCTCCCCACAGCGTCCTGAAAGCAGATAACCAGACAGCCATTACCGCACCTCGGCAATAGCCCCATTTCCATCAGGGCCACTTCAAACGGGCTCCTCTTTAAAGGCACTCACGGCTGGGGGGCAGGGGGCTGGCAGTGTTAGCAGTGAACAGAGGAATTCTCCCCTCCAGCTCCGCAGCCAAAGCAGAGCCCGGCAGATGCTGCTTCCCACCGATTAGCACTTTGCCCTGGCGCTGGCGCCTTTCAGTTTTGCAGCCTCGGGTAAACGCTGCTCTGCCCAAGGGTATTGGAGCCCCGGCAGCCCCTGG